TTTTTTTTGTTGGCTGGGGGGGTATTTTTTTTTTATAGGAGGGTGGGGGACATTGAAGGGTAACTCCCTATAATTTTTTCAATTTTTTTTTTCTTCACGAATAATATTTTTTTTTAATTAAAAACGAAAAAAAAAATCAACCAGCCAAAATAAGCATTTTCTTTTGCTATTTTGTAGGTCATTTCGATTTTTTTTTTTCTTTTCAATGTCACCACGCTGTGGGGCTTGAGGCGAATGTACCTGGACTTATCCACGAACATACAGATCATCTGACCACATCTACTACGAATCCTACCTACTAAACTGATACCAAATTCTAGACAGAACTTCTGGCCCTTCTGGGTGAAACCGGAATAATATATAATGTACTTATACCAGTGTGACCACCTTCCCTACGTAAATTGATACCAATTAAAATTGATACCAATTATTACCAAATGATCCAGAACTTCGGGCCCGGGTGTAGACGTAATAATAATATAATATACAAGAAGATGCCCTGCACACAATTAACAGTCACTAACCCCCTGTCATCTCAAACAAATGCAAAAATGACAACAGCCCCCCCCTCCCCCCCTCCCCCCCCCCCAAAAAAAAAAAAGAGAATTGCAATTGAGGAAGTTGTCCCTGCAAGCGTTCAATTGTCACCAATTTAGAAAAAGCACCCCATCGAGTAGCAAAAATATTTAGTGGTTTTGTCGAGTAGCCCTTTCCCTGTACCCGGTACTCCCAGTCTGCCAAAATTGCCTGCTTGACCAACTGGCCTAGCTCAGTCGGTACACCCCTGAACTGTTGAAATCCAGATCCAGACCCGAGTTCGAACTCCACTGCAAGCAGTTCGATGAGTGTGACATACTATGATTCTGAATTACCTACCGGTAGGGCCATGATGATATCTCGAGGCCTCTTATCCTTTACTCTTATATATATATAATAATAATAAATAATAATAATAAACCAAATAGCGGGTCTCATGTGACGCTCCCATGCGAGACCTGGGCACCCAGTCTTCCCTTCCCTCCCCTTTATATAGATATATATATGTATATACATACCGGGCAGCTCTGTTACCGGGCAGCTCTGTTTGACGATATATATATATGACGATATACAATGATCCGCTTTCTGTTACTGGAGTTGTTTATGCTGTTGTGCATATATCCTCTGGGCGTCTCTATGTTGGCCAGACAATCCATACTGCTCATCAACGTTTGAAGGAGCACTGGCATGTGCGACATACTGCTGTTGATTATYGTCATCGGCACCTCTATCACGTCATGCGACAACAGTCTCCCTTCAATTTTGCTGTTTGGCCGCTTGAATGTATTGATCGTGCGCTCTACATTACTGATCGCGGTGAGATTGATCATGCCCTCTTT